AGAGATTTCTTCTAAGAAACCTTGATAATGAGCACTTAAAATAATATTAGTTGGGTTACGATTAAATAGACCATGTAAGTTGGTACCTAAATTAATTATGGCACAATAAGGATTAAACATGATCAATAATCTTAGTTTGTTTAACCAGCAACAGGTTTAATACAAAGTAATTTTTTTATTGATTATTCCCCAAAATCAGCTTCTGGTTACAAGTTTACAATAGGCAATAGGCAAAGTATTTGAAAAGGATCTGTGACAATTTGCCGTGACCACCTGCCATGGCCAACTCACCATGGGACAAGAGTTACACTAATATCAAAGAAATTGTGGAATAGAATCATTAAAGAAAGGATGAAAAAGGAGGGACAGAATGAAAGGTGAATGGTAAAAGTTAAAATATTTTTAATTTTATTTTAAATAATTAAATTGAATGGTTAAATTGCTCTATAGCAAGTTGTTCTGTGGTGAGTTGGCTGTGGCAAATTGTCCCACAGCAAGTTGGCCATGGTAAATTGCCCATAGCAAGTTGGCCATAGCGAGGTGGCTGTGGCAAGATGTCCCATTCTGATTTGAAAAGGTGCTGCACAAAGCACATTTGGGCATATCTGAAATCCCACGCCACCCCTATTTCTCAAATCACTGAGGAAGCTACTGCAGATCTTCCAGGAGGCTCAAGTTGCAAGTGGCTGCTTTATCAATTATTATTCTATGTAGAGGTACTTTTCTAGCTGACCTTCAGTTGTACATGTATACACATGTGCAGAGTCTGTGAACATGTTTAAAGTCTAGAAAATCTGTGCCAAAACTTTGGAAGGATCTCTTCATTCAGTCTGCTTCATTCAGTCTATCAAGGGGTTTTGCTTCATTCAATCTATCAAGGGGTTTTGCATAGCCGTAATACAGACACACGTTTTCTTGGCATTTTCACTTCCCTTGGTAATTCTCATCTGATAACCAGGTACTGATTAGTTTTGATGTCATCATCATGGAATACATGGCTATTAACACTTTATTTCAGCTGGGATGTCACAGTTTTGTAGATTAGACCAAAGCAAGGCATTTAATTATCTAAGAAGGAATTGAAGAGTTAGTAGTGATGGGTTTCTTTTACTAAATTAAATCTGCATGCCATAGTCCCCACTGACTAAAATAGAACTACTCAGTTTATAAGATCAGGCTATTTAAACAATGTAACTATTACTTCCAAGCTATGGAACATAAGATAATGAGAATATAAAAGTTATTTAGGCAGTTTAAAAGCCATTTGATGAAAGTGACACATAGTTCAGCATGTAAATACATACTCACATACACACAAAAAAGCCACAGATGAAACAAAAATACTTCTACTAATTGTGTACTTGTTCATTTTGCAACATAATTGTCTATTGACATGCTGTATTTTATTTTTCAAGGATTGAAATAGCATTGTTGAAAAAAATAGGAGAACATTTATAGTATGTTCATTGCCATCCTTAGAATTACAGAAGGAAATAAATTATTGTGTCTTAATTTATTTTTGTAAATCTCCCAAAGGGTCTTATTATTATGCACAACTATGTGTAATTATTTAGATCTTTTCAACATTACTTCTACTTGGAGATAGGAAACTAATTGTGCTTAATATTTCCTGGGTGCCCCCCCCCTTTTAACCCACCTTTTAGAAGTGATCTAAACATGTACATGCCATTTACTCTGTCAAGGTCAAGGTCTAAAAGCTGAAGTCACAAAGTTATTTAATATAGAAATGAAGGCTGATAGTTTCAGCTTCTCAGTTTGACAATACAGTATAATAATGTTTTAGAATGATGTATAGAGTTATATCTTGTGGTTTATTTATTTTCAGTCTTATTTATGTACAGTACAGCTTAATATAGTTCAGTTCTGCAAATTTAAATGTGTGGGTTAAAGAAAGCTACTATGCAAATTGTTTTAGGGACACATATAAATATACCTCCCTCTTTGTCTTCTGAAGGTATGCAACAATATTTAGAGAGAAACAAAAATAATAATATAAATAAATAAATAAATTGGCAAGACAATTTTTATTGGCTGTTTATAAAAAGGTTCTTCTATCCATGTCTTCTTTCACATGCTAAAATTGCAGCAATCTTGACTAATACTTAAGAAAACATTTTGAAGTCCTGGAAGTCTTACACAAAATCTGTTCAGCGTCTGAAACATATTTGAAAACTGTGATCATGGACAAATACCAGTCAAGTCTCATGCTATACTAATAACATTTTATCACAGAAGTTACCTATCAGAAAATAGAATAAATGTAATCATGTCTTGATTATCATTACTTCAGTACAATACTGTACATCATATTGCAAGTATTATACAATATTGTTTAGCCAAATGAACAAAGTGTTAGCAAATATTTTATTGGTGAAAATAAACTTCCATTTTATACAGTCATATTATATTTAAGTATTAAATGCTCAGAACTGAACTCAATATTTAATCAGGTTGTATCACAAATGTCTTCTATCCTAATATTGTCTGTATATGTACACATCACCTAGATTAACCTTTGTCTCTGCACTTTTCAATTGTTTCAATGATTTGAAAAAATACAGTTTTTTAACAGTAACTTTTGCATGCTTCTATTTTTTACCAATACCAGTTAACTCAAGTTTATGTGATTTGTGCAAATGTTCACATAAAACATTCACCAATAAGACTATGTAATAATAGTGGTCCATTAATCAGTGTTACGGATGGGTTGTTTCTTCGGTAACAATAATTATGTAAGCTGTATTTATGTAAGTGAGGTCCTACACAAGCCATAATCCATGAGAGTGTATGATTTTTTTTTCCTGATAGCATTTTACACACTAAGATGTAATATAAAACTGACTGGATCTGTAACTCAGAACTGCAGCAAGCCCATGCTCTGTTTTTATTTTATATTACTAAATGCAATTTTTCATGGAACTGAGATCAATCCCTATTTTCAGAATGGGAAATGGGCTTTGTAATACAGAAAAGTCATTTTTAAAAATACATTTTATGACACTAGAAATCTGGGCACTTCCAATATTAACAGATATGTATATGATAGATAAGGTAATAATATTTTAAATCCATTTATATAATACAGTGAAATGTGTCTATTTAACTAGTAATACAAATTAAACTACATAAATTAGATTTTATGCTAAAAAGAAATAGATTTTCATCCTAAATTTAATTTTAATATACTTGGCAGATTGTTTTTTAGTTTAAAATGATTTAGCAATTGTCAAAAAGACTAACTCTTCTGTGGATTTCTTCTGTGTCCTAACAAAAAAGAATTATGATCAATTCTGTGCAGAGAAGTAGAAATCTACTGGTAACCAATGAACAGTGTATTCTCATATTCCCATCTGACAGCAATCTTTTGAGTAGCCTCCTATCAAATTTCAACAGTGGGCATACTTCAGAGCAACAGAGCACATCAATGCTTATACAACTAGCACTTTTTGTAGCTTTTATTCTTGATGTTCTGACATTAGATAACTGTCCATTTGTGAAGAGTGTTAAAATTCTGTAAATGTTGACTTCTTTAGGCAAAGCTAAAAGGAAAAAATATATATTATATATTATATCCATTGTTTCCTTTTTGCACTACCTATGTAACTTTCCAGAGCACATTCCTTCATTTCATAAAAAGGCTATTCTAGCCTTGTAAGCTACTTAATAGGTTTAACAATATTCTCTTATAAAATAACATTAACATTTCTGTTAAGCAATATAATCAGAAGTATGCAAGTTTAAGCATTTGTGAATAAACTGATAAGAGTTTGAGTTGGGGAACAGTGAAGAAATGTTGTGTTATTACTGTCTGTAAATTCTGTACAGATATGTACTGTACTGTGCTGTAAATGTTCTCACAGTTAGATTATTTGTTCTTTCCAATGATATTTTAATAGAGAAAAATGACAAATCATGATTTCAAAAGTATTAGACTCATAAGATCCATTCTACACCAAAAATACAGTTCAAATATTAATATTTTACTTCTTTTTAGGAAACAATAGTCAATCCCTTACTTGGATCGATTTAACTACATAATTGAATTCATATTCATTCAGAAGCAAATCCGCAGAGTTCAATAATGTTTTCCTCCAGATAAGTACAAATATAATTAACCTAACACTCTTAAGTTTGCAAATTCAATTATGTAACTTGGAACTGCTTAATAAAAGACATTACACATTATAAATGGATGGCACAGAAGCAATCCAGTTTTTAAAATATGTAAACAAAAAAAGAATGCTGTCATCACACAGTAAAATTAATACAGTTTTTCTCAGACTTTAGAAAGTATATTGGGATCATATATACTTAACACTCAAATAACAACACATAACACAACAGAACTGATTCTTTACAATACCAGTATTTCACATCTAATTAAAATATTTTGTTAGCTACTCCCTTGTATCTTAAAAATAAGTAGAGGCAACAGCAAACCTTGATGTTTTCCATGCTTTAATATGAATTTTGGTCTGTAGATACAACTGAATTCTACTAACCAGCATTTCTAATTGAAGGTTTATTTAAAGGTTTTGCTGCATATTTGAATTTGTAGCAGAAAGTTTAAATGATAATAGTCGTTGAATTTTAAGACAGAAGAAAAACAAAGCTATTTCTGAAAATCAAGTACCAAACTTAGCAGTGTATGATTGTGTAAGATGAGAATTGATATTTTATGACTTATTTGAGCTTTGGATATTCTTGTTTTTACAGTACATTTTAAATTGAAGTAGACAACAATATATGATGACATTTTCTATAGTCATTTTAATCTACTCTTGTTGTGAAGCCAGCATTTTCAGCCTTGTAATAAGAAGGACAACACTACTCTTGAAATAAAAAGTTCAGGAAAAATATTAGAAACTCAAGTGTAATTAATCGAGTAAGGAACAAAGTGTCCTTTAATCTTAATTGGAATAAGGTTCTGCACACTGTGTTTAAGTGCATGAGAGGAAAAATAGGCTCTCCTATGTCTCTCAGACTCTTAGACTTTGGGGTCTGTTGTCACTTTCCAAGTGTTGACAAGCATCTAGCACACCTGCCACTGCATAATGGACCGAGGACGATTGAGTATCAACCGAACAGATGCTGCAATTTAGCAATGAGCCTCCAAAAATGAGACAGAATCCAGCAAACCAGCCTATAAAAAGTGCTTCCCCAAAATCCCACCTTGGAACGATGTCTGGAATAGTTTCATCCCAAAATTCCTGCACAGTGGTATGAGCAACCCAAGACACTGGGACTAAGGTTGCAGCTCCTGAAATCCAGCAGAATATTCCTCCCAGCAACAATAACCGCTTCTTTAGATCCTGTTGTTGTTCTCCAATCTTTAAACAATCCAATCCAACACTTGAGAGTAAGAGACCAGAAAGTCCTAATCCATTGGATATGAACATTAGAATCCTAGAAATTTGGAGCTCTGGGGGTAAAGCTAAAAAAGAATCAAATTCTTTGCACTGCATTCCCCCTTCTTCATGGACCACACAAGCTTGCCAGAGTCCCATTGTCCAGATCTCCAATTCATTCAATTCTAAATTGAGATTTTTCCACTGAGGTAAATAAGTAGTGAGGCAGGATAAGACCCATCCTAACAGGCAAAATAAAATCCCTGCTAACTGCATTATGGTTCGGTTCACTAAAGCCATTGTAAAGGATGCAATCAACTGGCTGGAAAATCTTTTGGCCAGGTTTTTTTGGGACTTTGACTTTATATAGTGGCTGCAGTTCTGATGATGGTTGCTCTTTGCTCTCCTGAATATAAGCTTTAGCTATTAACCCTTTAAGAACTCTGAAACATGTTTTTGTTCTTCCTGAATATAAGGTTTCTTGCAAAGGACGAAGGACTCTGCTTAACCATGAGTTGGGTTTTGTGATAAGGATTTGATCTGTTACCTTTCAATTTGCTTGGTAAAATTATATCCCAGTGCCTGATGATTGCAAGTCTGAGGATGAACAAAGAAAGCTCTATGACCCCTCACCTAAAAAAAACAACAGCAGAAATCTTTGTGCTTCAATACGGATTAATTAGATTTTAAATGGTGATAAAAAAAAACAGGTCTGTCTGCAACAGGACTTCATTGTAATAGCTAAATTTGAGATTTCAGGGCTTCAAATCAAGGCCTTGGAGAGAAAGGCATCCTGTTTTTCTATCTTCTATACTACTACTATACTTCCTTAGTTAAATGTATACATTGACTTGTCTTTCATTCTCCTCATTTTTCTGGAAAGAAAGCTTTGAGATATATTGATTTTCTGTCCTGTCTGAAGTTCCCTTTAAATAGGTTTTCTTTACATCTGAGTTTTTCAAGAACAAAAGGTTTGGTGTAGTGCTTAAGAAGTTGACCTAGAAAACAGCAGACTATGAGTTTCAGTCCTACCTTAGACATGAAAAACCAGGGGGCTGACTTTGAGCCAGTCACACACTCTCAGCCCAACTCATATCGCAGATTATTGTTGTGGGGAAGATAGGAAGGAGTATTGATGTGCTTGCTGCTTTGAGTTGCATATGAAATAATATGCAGGATAAAAATCTTTTTCAAAAATAGAAGTTTGAGCTAACAACTGATGTTTCACAGTCCTCAAGAATCTACTATTGACAAGGATTATTCATTAACAGGTTTTTTAATATAAATCTTAGAAATTGAGACAGAGGCATTTGTGACTGTTTGGTAACCCATTTCCTCAACAGGTATAACTACAGTCTCATTCATTTATATTACTTTCACAAAAAACACCTTAAACCTTTTCTACTAGGAGCATGAAGAATGAGCTATGTAAATTAGGGCATGCATGTACAACTGATTTTCTTATTTTAATAATGTGCTTATACTTGCTGCTAACACATAAGAAAACGGCCTCTTCACCATCAAGAATGTTAATCCAATACAGAAAATGTTATTTACATTAAGAATTGTGTCATTGCTTTATTTGGTTCTGCAAAAGTGGCTTAAATGGGTTTAAATTCTTCATTTAAAAAAAACACCTTTTAAGTTTAAGATAAGAGAGGAAGAATTTCACAATTTCCATTTCTTCTTCATAATATGGCAGTGATATCAAATATTGTGTTGTTCTGTGCTGAGTGTCTCTTGCAAGGTTGTGGTAGATCTCACAGAAATAGTACTAGTTGTTTTCTTTAATGGAGTTCATGGTATTGCCCTGCTACTAAGTGTAGGATTACAACTATGTTTCAGTATAATATATGCATAATTAAGTTTTAGAATTGCATTGTCTTTAAGGTAATTGAACCTTTGCAAGATAGAGACACTGTTTGATCAAAATCAAACACATTCTCATCATTTCCAGGATAGATTACTGCAATCTACTTTATCTGGTGCTGTCTTTGAAGACTATTTGGAAACTGCAATTGGAGCAAAATATTGTGGCCTGTGTTTCTAGTGAGTAAGAGCTACAACAGCTCTAAAACACCAGTGGGCTTTGGAGTACAACTCATAATGCTAGCTCTAGCTATAAGGCCCTTCACAGCTTGGCTATTGAACACAATCCAGATTATCTCCTGCAAACAGACACCTCATGCTCTCATCTTGTACAGCAGAGGTCTCCAACTTGGCAACTGTAAGACCTGTGGACTTCAACTCCAAGCTATGCTGGCTGGAGAATTCTGAGAGTTGAAGTCCACAAGGTTTAAAGTTGCCAAGTTTGGGGACTCCTGTTGTAGAGGGATGTTAGACTCAATGCTGCTTCAGTGCAGTGCTAGAAGTGCCTCTTTTCAGAGATTTGGTTGGTGCCCATGCTGATGTCCTTTGGAAAGGATGTAAAGACAATGTAATTCAAGAATTATTTGTTATGGTCACCAATCATCCCCTGCATAGATATAGATTATTCTTAACTGATGCAATTATTTTAACAGTTTTATTTTGTTCTTGTTTTTTATAACCTAATATGTGAACCACTGGGAACCACACAGAACTATAGAAATATTGTAAGTAAGTAAATAAATAAATCTATCTAACAGGAGGCAAAAGCAAACAAAAAAACCTTCACCAGTAATGCTGTATGCTGCATTGTGAACTACTGAAATTCTCTACAAAATCCTGCAGTATGTAGCGAGGAACCAAAGTCTCAGAAAAATTTGATGAACATATAAAATACTTAAAGGCTAAAAGTACACCTCTAATACTGTTAGAAATGTTGGTTGTGTTTGCATTAATTTTGGTACACATTTATTACTTTTTCTCCTTATATCTAGACTAACCATGCTAGAAGTTATCCTAAAAAAGATTCCATTATGTAGAATATGACACAATTCTCTTTAAGATGATTGCTAGCCTAAGAATAATTAACATTGTGATTGATCTTTTGGAAATGCTGAGAACATAATATACTCCTATAATGAGAGTTGGCTGCACATTGCCATGGTTAGCGTGGAAGCCACATGAAGTCACATTCAAGTTGAGTTCAACTTCTTACAAATTCACAGGTATGTGAAGTCTTTGTTGCAGATTGTTTTCTTCTTTGCGTCTTTGCTTCTGTTTCTCACTTCTGTCCAATTTGTTGTTATTCTCTTTAGAATATTTAGAATGTACTAGAAGGCCTCACTTTTAGATTTTCAACTCTAAATTACATGTTTTGCAACCATTTGGTTTGTCTCCAGCAGCAGCAACCTGGGGTGGAGTTAAAAAAAAAAAAGACAAGATGATTGCCAAAATTGCACAAACCAAGTCCCATCCTTCTTTTATGGGTTGCTGCACATTACCTTGATCCCCAGAGTGCATACCTAGGCATCTATTCCTCCCATCATCCTCTCATTGCCTGTAGCTGCACAAAAATCCTGGCATGTATTGCAGCTGATACCCAGTTTTAAATCTGTAATCAAAAGATTGAGCCCAGGAAATAGCTTGTAGCTACTGTGTGCTCCCAAATAATCATGGGATCCTTCCTTGAAAATAAAACTGCTTTGTGTCTGTTTCCTTATCTTTCTCCTTGCTCTACATTTAAAGCTTCTATTCCACATGGTTTATGATCACTGCCAACACTTGGGTTCTCATGGAGCTTCTCCAAAACTTCCATGTTATTTCTTTAATATTTCCACAGTTTTTCTTTTGAAAATGTTAATTTACCTGCTTATATTTTTTTTCCTGACATTGTCAATATTATCCAATATACAAGTTCATATTCTAGGATTAAAGAATATTCAACTCTGCTTTGTTCTCTTAAGATATCTGTTATTAAATCTGTTATACAATGATTTCTCTGAGTAATCACAAGTTAATTTTCTCTAGCTAAAGTAGTTGCATATTCATTTTGCAGAAATGCAGTGTACTATGGACAATATGCCCATCACATCAGTGCTGGTATTCAAAAATTTTTACTACCAGTTCTGTGGGTGTGGCTTAGTGGGCGTGGCAGGGAAAGGATTCTGTAAAATCCCCTTTCACTTCCCACTCCTGGGGGAAGGTTACTGCAAAATCCCATTCCCTCCCCACTGCACTAACCTGCTTTCCACCTCCATTCTCCTGTGCAGGGCAACAGAGGAAGACCCAGCCAATCAGCTGGGACTCAGTAGGCAAAGAATTGATGGGGATGGGGCCAGTCAGAGGTGGTATTTGCCGGTTCTCTGAACTACTCAAAATTTCCACTACCAGTTCTCCAGAACTGGTCAGAACCTGCTGAATACTACCTCTGCATTACATGTCTGGGAAAGGGCCTGGTATTTCCAAATTTATCATGACATGTGAATAAATATTAATTGCACACATAAAATATATCCTCATCTTTAGCAATATTGAATGCTAGTAATGATGTTAAATAATCTTGCTGGTGATATGGCTGCTACTTCTGCTGATGTGGCTACTGCTGTTATATGAAAATTTTTTGATGAAATATTGCACAGATATTCAAAATAACTTCTATAAATTTTATGTGAGTTAGTTATACTCAGTTGTGTGCTGCTAAATATTCAAAAATCAGCCCTACTGGCTCCATTGCTGCTGCCACGCAGCATCTCTAGATGAGGAAGAGCTGGCACGCTAGATGTCAAGGCTCAGCTCTGCTCTCAGCAGGCTTACAAAATTGCAGAAAATTAACTATCAGCTCTCATCAGCTCTCATCGTAAGTTGGTCCAGCACGCTACTAGTTATATTCATCAAATATTAAACAAATCCATTGTAAATACCCTCACTACCAGAGCACATATGGCATATGGATACTGCAACAGATAAACTGTTGTCCCTGTTACTTTTTCAGTATAATCCAGCTCTTATTGTTTAGATCCCTAGAAAAAAGAAACAAGCTTCTTTTTTCTGTCAAGGGTGTATTTGGGAAGAGGCTGAGTCAAACTACTTTGAATGATCATTTCCCCCTGGGTCTCACAGTCTTAAGTGTTAGATTCAGTTAATATAACTAAGTTGTAAGTGAATTATCAAACAGGTTTTCAGTGTTTATTGTCTGTTCATCATCTAGATAGACTCTTTGAGGAACTTCTTCCATATTGTCTTGATATCCTGATTATGAGGTTGAAGAAGCCCTGAGCCAGTGCTTTATTTTGTGAGACCACCACTACTTTGACTTTTTCATTCAGATGTCTTTAGAGTTTGAGCTGTTATGAAAGATGATGCTTGGCTTGTTCCATTTGATCTGTAGATATTTCATGCATCCAAAGGAACACTTGAAGGCACCATCATGCATA